ATGGACGCAGGTCAGTAGTAGCATACAGCTTAATGGACGCAGGTCAGTAGTAGCATACAGCTTAATGGATGCAGGTCAGTAGTAGCATACAGCTTAATGGACGCAGGTCAGTAGTAGCATACAGCTTAATGGATGCAGGTCAGTAGTAGCATACAGCTTAATGGACGCAGGTCAGTAGTAGCATACAGCTTAATGGACGCAGGTCAGTAGTAGCATACAACTTAATGGATGCCGATAAGAAGTTGCATACACTTTAATAGGTCAGTATTAGCATACAACTTAATGGACTCAGTTCAGAGGTAGCTTACAAGTTAATGGATTCAGAGCAAAAGTAGCATACAACTTAATGGACTCATGTTGTCAGTAGTAGAATACAAATTAATGCACTCAAGTCAGTAGAAACATACAGCTTAATGGACATATAATAATAACTAGAGTCTACATTGAGTGTTAAGAAACTCTACTTGTTCTACGTGTTGTGCTAGTCTCGGCTGAAGTACTGGTCTATCAAGTCGGGGAAAATTTGATTACAGTTTTTTTTTGTAATATGTTTTGATTGGCTAGATATTCGCTGGTAACCCTCAATGCTGGCGAACTACAACATGTGTATGCTAAGAGCCTTTTACCATATAAAATAGTGCAACTGTATGACTACGTAACTTTGCGAGAATGGCTTCTTCAAATACGACCGAAATTATTACACACTATGTAAATATATATATATATATATATATATATATATATATATATATATATATATATATAAGTAGTTACATAGATATTTTCTATTTTGCATTGCAACTAGATCGTCATCATCTTCATCCTTCAACCCTTACTTTTGGTCGATGGGGCACCAGAGTTGACGTTATAATTCTCCGCCATCCACCTCTGTCCTCTACCGTTCTGATTAGTTCTGAGACTGGGAGCCTCGTTTAATTGTCATCCGTCTAGTGACGTCTTTGACTTCCCCTTATTCACCCTCCTGGCACAGTGTCTTGTATTATTCTTTTGGATAAGTCGTAGATTCGTATAACATGTCCATACTAGCACAATGTCCTTACTTACACTCTATTCAGTGACATATCAAGGGACGACTTACTTTATTTCCATGTAGGAAGTGGCGTAGACCCTCCTACCGTTTGAATTCTATAATGGCTGGTTCTAGGCGGAACAAACTACGCATGCACAGTAGGGGAAAAATTTGCCGCACTGAATGGAAATATTTGTGATGCCATGTACATACGTATATTTAACGTTATGCCAAAGTCTAATCCTCCTTACCCAAGCTTCCGTTAAGGATCTATTCGAGGGAGGGAGGGGGGGCTGTTCCCTCCGAAAAATTCCAGTAAACCAATGTATAAAAGAAACTATGTCCCTAACCCTAATGTCTATTCCTAATCATAATGTCTAATCATAACCCTACTACATTAATAACATTACTTATTAGTAACCCTAAGGCCTAAACCTAACCCGTAACCCATCAAAAGTTCAGTAACAGTTTTTATTTAATGCGGTATGGAATTAGCATTTCATTCTATTAAAGCTATATCATATTATTAAACGGTATGCAAATAGACTAGTAAACACACTATAATTAGAGTCAAGGGCATTCAGTTTGATAAAAGCGATTGATTATTTTTGTTTGATTTGGGATATCGATCAAACACTAAACGTCAACAACATAACGCAGTCTACGTCAAATCTGAAGCGATAATAATTAGCAATATGTAGGTGGACAGCTACGTGCTCTGATGATTAGCTTGGGTTATTAAAACACAAAGGCAAAATATAGGTACACTGAAGTTAAAAGAGTGAAAAGTAAGGCCTATATATTGATCGGTAGCGATAAAAAAGGATAGGTTTAGTGATTTTTTTTTAAACCTAGCAGTCTAAGATTGTATTAAAAAGTATGTGAGTGTAGTACACAAAGTTAATTAAAGGTAAGAACCAGCAGACCCTGGTGTATTGTGAAAAGGATGCTGTGGTTTGTCATGTAAAAAAAAGATGTATTAATATTAATGGCAGTTTAGGGGGATGGTGAAATGAGGGAGGGGATCAATGTTTAATATTGTGTTGCATCAGGTAAACTGCTACGTAAAGCAAGGCGATACTACGTATGGTGCCAGTTCTATTAGGCACTATTCGGTCAAATTTTACTTGGCAATAGTTGGGCAACTTTTACTAGGCAATATTAGGACAGAGTGCCTTACCTGTTTAATTAACCTTCGAACCGAACATGTGTATATAACCTTTGAACTATTTTCATAACATATCTCAAGTGGCATGTACTACTAAGATACAAGTCTGGCGTGTAAATAGCACCGGATGCAAGTCAGTGCCAGCCGCCCAATAGACTAGAGCCAGAACTATGCTAGCCACCCAATAGACTAGAGCCAGAACTAAGCTAGCCACCCAATAGACTAGAGCCAGAACTAAGCTAGCCGCCCAATAGACTAGAGCCAGAACTAAGCTAGCCACCCAATAGACTAGAGCCAGAACTATGCTAGCCGCCCAATAGACTAGAGCCAGAACTATGCTAGCCGCCCAATAGACTAGAGCCAGAACTATGCTAGCCACCCAATAGACTAGAGCCAGAACTAAGCTAGCCACCCAATAGACTAGAGCCAGAACTATGCTAGCCGCCCAATAGACTAGAGCCAGAACTATGCTAGCCACCCAATAGACTAGAGCCAGAACTATGCTAGCCACCCAATAGAGTCCTTTCATATGACGTCACGTCCGTTCGTGATACCTACGCCCGCCGCCACAGTGGTGTACACCAGACGTAAACACAATCAGCTGTTCGCCAGCGCTGGACGTGTTCACCAGCGCTGGACGCGTTCACTGTATGAAAAGAACCGCACCCGCGGAAAGGGAAAAATACGTTAAAAAACTTGAACTCTTAGGAATTGAAGATCCTTATACTGTTATTGACAGTTTCGTATAAATAAATATGTGGACAAAATTTCTAAATAAAAATACTGTTAGTAATACTGTTTGCGTTTAGAGTTAAAGTAGCCAAATCTGATCAAATGCAGTTCTCGATACTTTGTTTCAGGTAAGGACAGTAAAATAATAAACTTCATTTTAATTATAAAAGATAACTATTAATAAAACAAATATGCTCGACCTTCACAAATACTAATAGTAAAAGACAAAGTCAAAAGTAATAATAAGAATAATAAGATCTTATAGTAGGCCTAATACCTGGCTCCGCTGGGTAGACATAGAATCTAGAATCTACTTCTTTACTTAAATTTAATTACTTTAGATCTACATTCGATTCAAAATACACCCATAATAAATCAAAAGTAGTCATCAATAGGCCTAATAAAGCATTTAATTGTCTCTAAGATCTAAAATCTCGCTCTATTATCTAATCATTTTTTTAGCAAACGAAATTTTCTGAAATTGAAATAGATTGTATGACTAGACTTAGATCTAGAATCTGCTACTTAAATTAAATTGTAAAAACTTTATACAAGCATGTAGTTGATATTATTGTAGTAGAAGGCTTTAATAAATTACTAAGGCCTACCTACTTTGTTGTCTTTTTACAGCAATATGTATCTGATACTGGACTGAGTTTAATTAAATTCAAATTCATATCTAGTAATTGGTCTACTAAGTTTTTGTAGCCTAGTAGTACAATCTAGATCATACCAGCCAACAACAAATAACCACATTATTATTATTTGGTTAATGATTAGGCTATTTTTTTTTAAAATCCACTGTTTATAAAAGAAACAAATCAAGCTAGAAACATTATAAGTGAGATGGTTTAGAATAATAACAATGGACCCAGTCTACAATTGATACAATTGCAGGTCTACATAGGGCCTACAGTCTAGTAGTTTACAGTAGGCACCTAGTGTGTAGCTAGTATACTAGTGTGTAGCTGTCCAGAGTTAAGATTCTTAATGCCTTAATGCTTTCCCCCTGATAAGCCATGTGTGCTATAAATGACATAACATGACACCGAGGTGAGAAGTGTTGAGGGGAGAGCAGTGGGACTTTCCCCTTTGTTCTCCCTGCTGGGCCCTGAGGGTCAAAATTATATAAGAAATACTATCTCTGTGGGGCTGGGTATCACGGAGGTGAGACATTTTCAGGGGAGGGCAGGGCAGACTCCTCTTAGGTTTTATTGTGGGCTAGATACAGGTGGGGGCAGCCATCATGAGGGTTGAACGTCAGTATTAATGTGTCTGATTACTTCCCTGCTGGATTATAAGGTCTTAAATTGTATAACATGCTACCCAGATTGGTTATTACCCATGGATTATATTAGCCGTTGTAGTGTGGGTTTTGTAGGAGTTAAGTGGTCTCACGTTTGCTACAGTAGATAACCTATAATATATTACTGCATTTGATCAGCTTCGTCTACTTAAACTCTAAACACAAACGGTATTACTAACAGTATTTTTATTTAGAAATGTCGGCCACATATTTATATTATCCACGAAACTGTCAATAACTGTATAAGGATCTTCAATTCCTAAGAGTTCAAGTTTTTTAACATATTTTTCCTTTTCCGCGGGCGCGATTCTTTTCATACAGTGAACGCGTCCAGCGCTGGTGAACACGTCCAGCGCTGGCGAACAGCTGATTGTGTTTACGTCTGATGTACACCACTGTGGCGGCGGGGGTAGGTATCACGTGATTTAGGTCACGTGTTTGCAAGGACTCTATAGACTAGAGCCAGAACTAAGCCATACAGAATTTTGTGGATTGACATCCAAAAGCTTACGGAAATTCCCGATGCAATTCATACAGAAAACTTAATTTTCCAGATTGTCCGATATATTTTTAAGGGTTATCAAAAAAAATGTATTCCGTCTTAATTAAGACATGTTATTCATTATTTTTTTTAAATACTTAAATCGTTTGAGCTATTAATCATATTGTTTGGTGATTTTTAAACTTTCTGAACTATTCATGTGTATTAAGTTCCCTTTTTGAACCGGACGGTCCAATCCGGTCCATAGAGTAAGTGAAATGGAGTTCATCTGTTTTCTTTGCCCTCTGCATGTGAATAGATAGTTTGGTGGGCATTACGCCAAGTGGCCTTTACTTTCCCTAACGTTCGGACGGCATGTATACGGATTCGAACTCGAGACTTAAGGTTTGACAGTCTAGCAGATTAACTTTAATGTAAACATTGTGTTTTATTTTGGTCATATTTGTTGTGTTTTGATTTACAGGAGTGAGTTTCAAAAGTCGGTTGAAAAAAATATTTTTTGTTTTGAACTTTAAAAAACGAAACAAAACAAGATGTACTTAGTTTATGACCTGAGCTTTACTCATCAGGAAATCTACTGTGTAAGTAAACACTCGCATTACAACCAACCCTCGACTCCGCCTCCATCACTCTCTGTGTAAACAATCCCCGAGCATACTTATAAAGTTCAATGTCTAGGTCGTTGTGTTCTTTAATGACTGACAACATTGTGTGATTGACATCAATATGTGACGCTCTGGTAAATTCATCATTCATGATTCGTTTGGCCAGCAACACACCAAACGTGACCTCAAACAAAAACTGAGATTTTTCCTGCTCCTCTGTTAGGCCAAAGAACTCCATGGCCCGCAGATTTTCCTTGGCGCTGTTGAGTAGAGTCTTGTCCACGAAGTCTTTGGAGAGTCCAGTTCTGTTGTAGCAGTTGACCAAAGACAGGTTAGCCAGCATTCTGGTCATGCGGTTAAAAGCGAGGTTATGGCTGTTGAAATAGAAGTTGCTAAAAATAAAAACTAAACCACGAAACAACACGTTTCAATTTCGTTCATACAACATATAGAGCAAGCATTGTAATTATGCACTAAATTGGAATATTGGTATGTGTGTCTGTCTGTGTCTTTCTGTGTGCACTATGAACCTAAGTACAGTTTCAGACATGTTGACGAAATCTCAATATAGTAATCATATAAAATGTTAGTTTTTCTTTAACTTTTGAGCGATTTCCGGTAACCGGAAGGGGAATACTATACTTCGCATTTCTGAAAATCAATAACTTGTGTACCGTTTACGTTTGGTGGACTAGTTTGCGCAAATTTAGAACAATTTTCGAGAAAGGAAAGTGACAGTTTACTCTATTTCGGTCCATGCGGCTAGTGAAGTGACTGGGTGGATTCATTTGTGACGTAACACAGAGAGTAAATAAATCTTCACCAAACGGATGATAACTTCTAGGTGATATCAGTTGTACGATATCAGAGAAGTGCAATGACACAAGGATAAAGGGAGAATGTATTTATTATTGTAATTTTACACAATTGATTTATAACTAAAATAATAGCATTGACAACGCATCCTGAATGGATTATGCTAACTAAACTAGAACTATTATCGGGGTATTTCAGATTTTTGTACATCATCAAAAACAATTAGGCTACCGCCTACCAGCGAGCACACATCAGCACCATGAGACTAGCATGAAGCACCTACCTGCAACCGACGAACTCGTCAAATGTGACGTCACGCCACGGCCCTCCCCCAGCACACCTGGGCAGCTCACTGGGTGTGGCGTTTCTACCGTTACACAGGTATTCTTTGGGCCAGTAGGCGCCACGTCTGACGTGCATCCACTCACTGATGAAACGGTTGACTGGATCTCGTAGGTAGGTTATGTAATGGTAGCTGTAGGTACAGGTAGGTGATGTAATGGTAGCTGAATGTACAGGTAGGTCATGTAATGGTAGCTGTAGGTACGGGTAGGTTATGTAATGGTAGCTGTAGGTACAGGTAGGTCATGTAATGGTAGCTGTAGGTACGGGTAGGTTATGTAATGGTAGCTGTAGGTACAGGTAGGTTATGTAATGGTAGCTTAAATACAGGTAAGTGATATAACGGTAGCTGAAGGCAGTGGCGTAGCGAGGTCGGGTGTCACCCGGTGCGGCACTTAATGGTGTCACCCCCCAGAGGCGTTGCGACCCTTCCCGGGGACAAACTTTCAAGTTTTCGATTTGCATCCCCCCCCTCAAGTTTTTGATTTGCACCCCCACCCCCCCCCCCCTCTCAAACTTTCGATTTGCACCCCCCCCCCTCAAGTTGTTCTCTATATATTTTGCTATTTTTTGCCTTGGTGTCACCCCCCTAAATGGTGTCACCCGGTGCGGTCCGCACCCCCCGCCCCCCCCCCCTCCTCGCTACGCCCCTGCCTGAAGGTACAGGTAGGTGGTGTAATGGTAGCTTAAATACACATTTGTGATGTTATTTGTATATAAAGATAGATGTAGAATATGTAGTGGTAGCTAAAGATACAGTTAAGTAATTGTAAAAAAAGGTACAGGTAGATGATGCAATGGTAGCTAAAGTGGCTAAATGTATAGGTAGGTGATGTAATGCTATCTAAAATTAGTTAGATGAGGTAGTAGTTATGAACAAAATGTGATAGCTGAAGAAGTATTGCATTTGTTTTTACACTACATATCTGTGAATTGTTGTGTCAAAATTTGAAACTCAAATTCGATCAATTTTTAATGCAGCGTTTTCGGATACATTCGTCTCTAAAAACAATGCAAGAATATCTACTTTATAAATTCTATCAGATTATAAATTAGTTATTATAAGTAATTAAACAATTATGAAAATATGGGAAGATAATAAGATTTAGTTCAAGTGATCGTTTGATCGGTTTGCTTTCGGAGGTTGAACAGTTGGTCGCGGAAACTAATCTTAATTTTTCAAAGTTTATCAACACGTTTTCTCAGTATAGTATTTTTAACGTAACACCTTGTTGCTTGATTAAAAAATCATACTTAAACAGTAATATTTTTATAATAACATATGAATAAACATTTAATCAAGAAGGTGAGTACTCACTTCCGGTGTGACCTTTGAGGCTCTACCGACCTAAGCCACGTATCCACACACTCGGTCAGCTCCGTCCAATCCGCGTGCAGCCCGCACGTGAAGCCTCGAATAAACCAGGCCGCCAGCCACGTGACGTTGTTTCCGGTCTGGCAGACGCACAACCCAGAGCACCTGCACTCTGGTACGTCCTGTATCCAGCTAACCAATAAACGTCTCAGGTGCATGCCGCCTGTCTTCTGGATGTGCAGGAACACAATGACGTCATCGGCATTCAAATTTAGCTTGACCCTGGGTTTGGTTTTACAACCTGTTGACCGTACTGTCACCGTATCTGAAGCCTCTGTCGTCGTTAAGAACCTTGGCGTGCCTTCTGTGCTCCCGACGTCACTACCATTGTCTAAACTTTGTATCCGTCTTTCCCAATTTAAATTTAGTGAATTCCACGAGTTAAAATGCAGTTGTGAGAAAAATATCACAACATTGAGGCTCAATAACACGTATACGCATATCTTGAATGTTAATTGTTTCATGTTTTTGACCAGTATCTTTTTATCAAAGCAATCCATACAAAAATATAATTTCTTTATTTCGCTGAAAAATAAAATATTGTTAGTTCAAGAAAGTTTTTACAAGCACAGAAAAGTATGTATAAGTAATTTGTATTGGAGTAATTAAAATTACAAAGATTTTTTCCCCCTAAAAACTACGTTATTTATTACATTTTAAATAATTCAAAGTTTGCTTAAGAACTATTGATGTGAACACACCCACACAATTGCACACGCATATGTATAACATTAATTGGTTAATTAATTAATTAATTAACATATATAAATTTATCTACTAAATTTATGGCCTCAATGGCGCATAACCAGTTGACACGTAATCCTTAATTGTGATGGAAGCATGGTCGAGTCGGCAAAAGCGCATGGTTGATAAATTCGAAAAAAGCCTCTGGCAAATAAGGCTCGATCCCTCCCAACACTAAAAATTAAGAACGAAGAAGAAGAAGAAGATCTACTTCATTTATATATATATATATATATATGTAACGAGTCCCCGAGTCTATCCTGCCGACAACGCCAAATGTAACGAGTCTCTGGCTACCCTGCCGACAACGCCAAATGTGACCTTCCCGAGTCTAACCACTCATTCCACACAACATTGACCACAGCATAGATACTCGAAGATGCAGGTTCATTATTGATCCTTTTATTACATGAATCAAAGAATGCTTCACAATAATATAATGAATCAAGAGAGATGTTTCACAATAATAGTCTGAATCAACGGACCCCCAACAGTCCTCACTAGGCTTCATCTAACTGAATACACATGTCTAACGTCCTTCTTAACACAATATCACCAACGTGGTACTGCCACACAGACTCACTGAGAGAGAGAGACTGACTGCCTGACTGACTGACCGACCGACTGACTGAGAGAGACCTTCTGAGAGACTTTCTGAGACACTTCCTGAGAGACTGACTTTCTGAGACTGACTGAGAGAGACCGACTGACTGACGGACTGACTGAGACGCTGACTTTCTGAGAGACCTCGAGCTCAGCCGTCGCCTTCCTTATATCCCCTTCATAATCGTACTCATATTCGGTCCTATCATAATCGTAATTGTAATCGATTCTAATCGTTACATCAGACTGTTAATTACGCCGCTTCTGTCGTACAGTCCGATTTTAATAAGCCACCTGCATCCTGTCACATCAAAGTTGACAGACCGTCTTTCGTATCGCTTCCCGAGATATTACGCCTTGGCATCAGCCAACACCTGCACTGTGACGTCAGACTGTAACACGTTATGTCTCTTGGTAACTTCCCCTAGTTACATCCACCCCTGCCTTTTTTTGTGTGTTATCAACCACAAACAACGCTTGGCAGGTGCAGTCCTTCAAAGTCAATCGCACCACCGTAAAAAAAAATCCATTCACTGTCAATGTCGTCCCATTCGTAAAAGATTGACAGTTATCCCTATTTCACATATCAAATGTGTCTACATCATATTCCTCAGACACAAAACAGTTCTAGAATTCACATCCACCTTTTTTCGTCTGGTGCCTTCACCAGTTCACTTTTATGACTTTTTGAACAGTCTGTTCTCATACCAGCGCGACCATGAAAGAATTGATGGTTGCTGACAAAAAATTTCGTATTCTTTCTGTTTCTCAAACTTCTCCGCGGACCACTTATCTGATGGTCTATTGTCTCTCTGCTTTTGGAGGGACCGGGATCCTCCTTGTTGCCGGTATCCTCCCTTTGTGTGTCGCTGTTGCGCTGTTGATGGTGACATGGTTCCGGGATGGGTATGAGAATTTCCGTTATAGTTTCCGGTTCCCTAATTGTCTTGGGTTTCCTTGTGTGTAACTGCTCTTCTTGACTATGACAATATTTCTTTAATTGAGCAATATTCGCCCACCGATCCGGTTTGGTGTGATCGATGGGTCTTATCTTAAAGGGGCCACCTGCTACTTTAGGCATCTCCACGACTTGCCATATCTCCTGTCCCCAGAGGTCGTGGATTTTGTTTCTGCCTAACGGGTGGCTACGCAGTAATACCCTGTCGTTCAGTTTGAGTGGCGGGTCCTTTGTCTGTACCGGCGGTTCCCTTCGCCGTGCTTCATGCTCTAGTCTTTCCTGTACTACCCTGTACATTTCTCTAATTCGTCTCATATGTTCATTCACATATTCCAGTGCAGTGTATGAGCCAGTCATACTCTCCTTTTTTCCTAGGAACAAGTCAAGGGGGAGTCGAGCCTCCCGTCCGAACAGCAACATGTATGGCGAAAAGCCGGTTGTGGCATGGGGTGTGCAGTTGTATAGATATACCAACTCTGGGAGAAAATCAGGCCAACGTTTTTTTTGTTCAGGTTCTAGAGTACGCAGCAAATCATGCATGCTGCGGTTGAACCGCTCGCACTGTCCGTTTCCTTTCGGATTAAATGTGGTTGTTCTAGATTTGTTGATCCCGTAGTGGCTGCACAGTTGGTTAATTACTTCTGACTCAAAGGCCCTTCCTTGGTCAGAGTGTAATTGTCTTGGTATGCCATATTTGATGAACCAATGTTCTATTAAGACCTTTGCCACTGTTTTGGCAGTCTGATCTCGTGTGGGCACCGCCACAGTCCATTTGGTGAAAACATCAGTCATTACCAACACATGTTCCGTCCCATCCGATGATTGCTCCAACGACGTAAAGTCCATAGCCACAATCTCTAGTGGTTTTGTCGCTAATAGGTGTCCCGATGGCTGTCTCATTTTGACAACTGGCATTTTCGCATGCTGACACCTCACACAAGCCTCACAATGGCGTTTGACCTCCATTTCCATATTGGGCCAGTAACACCTCCGTCGTAATATTTTGTGCGTCCTGTCCTGACCCTGGTGTCCTGCCCTGTCATGTGCCAACCTTAGCACTTCTTCTCGTAATTGTCCAGGCACCACCACCTGGTGTATTGTCCCATCAATTTGGTCATAAATTCTCCGCATGAGAACACCATCCTTTATACTGAGACGGTCCCACTGACTCAGTATTTTCTTTGTTTCTCGACCAAATTGTTCTCTTTCCCTTCTTCCTGGGAATTTTTGTTCCTGGACGTGTTTCAACAGCGGCTGTAAGCCACTATCCGTTCTCTGGGCATTTCTTATCTCTTTGTGATTAAGGCAACTAAAATCACCAATGTCCATATGTCCGGGCTCTGTGGAAATGTGCTCCACCCCGGTCTGTCCGTTTTGCATCACTAGCCTTTCTTTGTCTATCATTTCTTCTAGTTTGCCAACACTGTTCTGTTGTCTAATATTTTTATTTACTTCTTCCGATAACAGACACTTTAAAGATGAACATTTCTCCTGTGCTTTTGATTTGCATGAACTTTTCCTATCCAGTTTCCTGGTTAGACTTTGAATTCCTTTATTAAGTCTACCAATTTTCTTCTTATCATCATTTTTCTCTACCAACAAATTGTTCACTTGCACCCCGTGAGGGATATCTGTTGACGCTCTGACCTCACATATTCCTGTCAGCGTTTCTTCCTCATCGCCCGGTCTCTCGTAAGGATTCCTTGATAAGGCGTCCGCATTGCCATTGGACCGCCCCGGGCGATATTTTATCTCCAGGTCAAAGAGTGCCAATTCTGCTGCCCATCGCTGTTCGATGGATCCCAACTTTGCTGTCTTTAGGTGACTCAAGGGGTTATTGTCGGTGTATACCACACATTTAGCACCTAATAAATAGTCCCTGAATTTTTCCGTCACAGCCCATTTTAATGTCAAAAGTTCTAGTTTCATGGCGCTGTAATTTGTCATGTTCTTCTCTGATTCCTTCAGAGCTCGACTGGCATAAGCAATAACCCTGAAGCCTTGCTTTTGTTGTTGTGATAGCACAGCTCCCAGACCTTTAGAGCTGGCGTCAATTTCTAGCCGAAATGGTTTGTCAAAGTCTGCATATCCTAATATCGGCGCCTCTGTCAAAGCCTTTTTCAATAGCTTAAACGAGTTCAGGCATTCATCAGTCCATAATTCACCTATCCGTTGTGTTTTACCTTTCTTTTTCTCCTTACTGTGTTTCTTTGTCATTTTGTTTACCAAGTCATGCAATGGTGCGGCAATTTTTGCAAAACCAGGCACAAATTTTCTATAATAGGAAGCAAAGCCCAAGAATGATCTGACCTCTACTGTAGTTGTTGGCTGTTTCCATTCTTTAACAGCTGCAATTTTATCTGGGTCAGTGGCGATGCCATCCGACGAAATCACGTAACCCAAAAAATGTACCGATTTCAGACCGAAGCAGCATTTGTCTGGGTTCAGCTTTACTCCTATCTCCCTAAGACGGAGAAACACTTGTTCTAATCTTTCTAGATGGTCCTCCCAAGTTTTTGAATAAACTAGTATATCATCCAAGTACACCAACATTATTTGAAATAGAAAGTCACTCATAGCACTCTGCATTACTCGCTGGAATGTAGCAGGTGCATTAGTTAGACCAAACGGCATACGGGTCCACTCGTACAGTCCCAGTGGAGAAATAAATGCAGTTTTATGTTGATCGTTGGGGTGCATGGCCACTTGGTGGTAGCCACTAGCCAAATCCAAGGTAGAAAGAAATCTTGCTCCCCCCAACGCATCAAGACATTCATCAATACGGGGCAAGGGGAATGCATCCCTTCTTGTGATATTGTTCAATTTCCGGTAATCACAACACAGTCTTATCTCCCCTGACTTCTTTTTTACCACTACTATCGGTGCCGCATACGGGCTAGTGCTGGTTGTAATAATTCCCTTTTTTAGTAGATCGTTCAGGTGTGCCTTCACCGCAGAGTAGTGACTCGGTGGTAATCTTCGATAAGGTTGCGCCACCGGCTTGTCTTGTAGTAAGGGTATCTGGTGTTTTATTACTTCCGTGTAACCCAAATCACCCTCGTACGAGGCAAATATATCCCTGTACTTATTCAACAATTCATTTAGTTTTGGGTCCTCAGTTTCCGGGAATGTATATGATCGGCCATCCTCTTTCTTCACCTCGGCCGTCACATTGACCGACCTAACTGTTACTTCATTACTGCTGGTATTGCTCAGTTCGATGCACTGTGCCGACCTTTGTACCTCGACGTTCTGTGGTACTCCTACCAGAGTATTAGGCGGTATAAAAATTTCCTCATCCAAAACATTTGCCACTAGTCCTTGAACTAGTCCATTTTCCGCTGATGTGTATGTCCGCAATAACACGACGCCTGCCCTCAGTGCGGCGCCACATGGTTCTATCATCACATCACCATTCACACTTCTATCCCCAATTTGTAATGTGATTGCCTTGACCGTGTTTGCCGGGACTGATATCCTTCCTCTGGTCTTGGCAAACCTGGCCAACTTGGATCCCCGACCTGGTGTGGTCGATCCGACAATATTTGTAAGAAATTCTGGCAACTGGCCAAGAATATTCATGCCCAACAGGCAAGGTATATTTGACACATTTGTCTCTAGGTTGTGTTTCGTAACGAACACCCCAACCTGCTTCAACCTATGTCCCGCCACCACGACATCCGCCAGAAAATAACCACAGTAAGGAATGGTTAGTCCATTAGCTGCCGTCAGGCGCATGCATGTGTCAGACCTCAACCTATGGTCTTTTCCTTTCATCCATTTGGTGTAAAAATTTTCCGTGATTGTCGTCACCTGGGAGCCTGTATCCACAATTGCCTTCACCGCGATGTCCCCAATCGTAATCACCATTTCGGGACAGACTCCCATCATTTTGCTTCTTGGGCCATAACCTCGCCCCTCTGTAGCCTGGCCCTGCCTTACAGAGGACGACCGTTTCCCTGGCAGTACCGTGCCATATGTCCGGGTTGTGAACAGGACAAACAAATTGGTCGACCGTCAGCCGTCCACCGGAGCGATGGACCGGCGGGTCGCGGCCGTCCAACCTGTCTCTGTTTTGTACCGTTCTTTTCCTGATTCTCAGCTGTTGACCTGCTTTCTAACCTCTCCAATCTTTGGTCAACCTTATCCAGGTGGGCCAACAGTCGAGCCATCATGGTTTCCACCGTGCCGGTCCCCGTGGGTGGGGATTGTTCCTGTTCCGGCACAGAGACTTTGTCCACCGAACAGTTCGATTGGTCCTCCTCCTCGGACCTGCGGATCGCTGAGTTCCTGACCTGAAGGAAGGTCAACTGCGGGTCTTTGTGGACCTCCTCTTTCAACTCTCTCCTTAAGATCGGGGTTGCTAGCCCCTCGATGAACTGGTCCCTCAGTAGGCGTACATCAATGTCAGGTGTTTTGCCCTTTACCGAATCAAAGGCCCTGTTTATTCGGTGTGAATACTCCATCACACTCTCCGCCATTCTCTGCTTTAAGCCTACGAACCCCGATAGCAGTTGCGATCCCGACCGTCTCTCCCCAAAGGTCTCCATAATCAGATCCAGCACCTTATCTGGATCTGATTGGACGGTTTTATCGTGGCATTTGACCTCTGCCCTAACCGTCTCTCCTATACTGCCCATCAGCAGTCTTAATCTTTCCTCTGGTGACATGTTTCTCGAGGCCCAGGCCGCTTTGACCTCCTCACTGAACCTGTTGGTTAAAGTTGGATCACCGTCCCCGTAAAATTTGTTAATGTGGGACTCTCTGGGCAGGACCACAATATGGGTCTGCTTCTCGTCCAGAGTAGACATTTTATTCCTTTAGTAAAAAAAAGAGTTCTTTCTTACCGTGTGTGTATGAAAAAATTTTCCTCGTTCCTCAATTTTCACTGTTCCTGAATGTCCGAATTCACACACACACTAAACACAGTTATGAACTAGGTTGACTATGGGTGCCTAAAGCGGCAAGTCTCGTTGAATTCATCCTGATCGCAGCGCCAAATGTAACGAGTCCCCGAGTCTATCCTGCCGACAACGCCAAATGTAACGAGTCTCTGGCTACCCTGCCGACAACGCCAAATGTGACCTTCCCGAGTCTAACCACTCATTCCACACAACATTGACCACAGCATAGATACTCGAAGATGCAGGTTCATTATTGATCCTTTTATTACATGAATCAAAGAATGCTTCACAATAATATAATGAATCAAGAGAGATGTTTCACAATAATAGTCTGAATCAACGGACCCCCAACAGTCCTCACTAGGCTTCATCTAACTGAATACACATGTCTAACGTCCTTCTTAACACAATATAACCAACTTGGTACTGCCACACAGACTCACTGAGAGAGAGAGACTGACTGCCTGACTGACTGACCGACCGACTGACTGAGAGAGACCTTCTGAGAGACTTTCTGAGACACTTCCTGAGAGACTGACTTTCTGAGACTGACTGAGAGAGACCGACTGACTGACGGACTGACTGAGACGCTGACTTTCTGAGAGACCTCGAGCTCAGCCGTCGCCTTCCTTATATCCCCTTCATAATCGTACTCATATTCGGTCCTATCATAATCGTAATTGTAATCGATTCTAATCGTTACATCAGACTGTTAATTACGCCGCTTCTGTCGTACAGTCCGATTTTAATAAGCCACCTGCATCCTGTCACATCAAAGTTGACAGACCGTCTTTCGTATCGCTTCCCGAGATATTACGCCTTGGCATCAGCCAACACCTGCACTGTGACGTCAGACTGTAACACGTTATGTCTCTTGGTAACTTCCCCTAGTTACATATATATATATATATATATATATATATATATATATATATATATATATATATATATATATATATATATATATATATATATATATATATATATATATATATATATATATGCCGTATTATCGTCCTAACAGACAATATTTAATAAACTGAATATAATGGTCTAGCCTATTTCCGCCATGGAAATTTAGAAATAAATCTTAAACAGGCGTTAACTTGTTACGTACACACAACTGCTAGTGATAGATAAGAGTTACATTTCGAGTCTGCCTATATCAAACAATAACGATAACTCTTAGGTTATCAAACCTTAAGTATTGTAAATTTTAAGTTAATTTTTTTTTTCTTCTAAAGGTTGTTACATCTTATGAGATTGGTATAGTATACGCTATTTATAGGTTGTGTCATATTTTGATGAAAATGCAAAATATACAATTGTCATTATATATTAAAATTTTGTAATCCTTAAGTTTGTTTTTGCACATAAATCTAACCTTTAAACTTAAATATAGTTATCGTTTTTTATCAAATGATTATTACACTTTATAGAGACGGAATTAACTGTTATTATTTGTATGTTTATCTATATTTTTTCGAAAATGTAAAGTTTAAAATTGCATTTATATTTTAAATTTGTCTAAGCCTGATATTTGAGTTATGGATTAAAATCTAACTCTAAAAATTCAATATAATAATAGCTTTATGAAGTTCATTATTATAGCTTATAACTTAGCTCAAGGTTGATGGACGTTCTTACTTTTTTGAGGCGCGTCGTATCCTATAGCAAGTATGTGTCTCACAACTTAAATGTTCAGACACAACGTATTTAGACAGAATGATATAAATCAATTGTCAGACATCGTTGCCCCCTCAACGCAAAAATATCCTATATCTGTCTAAAAAATTATAGATTTTTTTAGGACATACAAAGTTTCATTGAGCAACAAATATAGATTTTTTACCTCTCTTTCTCATCCGGACCTCCGAGAAAAAAAATCAAACTACTCCACTTAACTGCAATATCCGTAATAGTAAACATAAACGTCAAATCACTTTGATCGACATCAAGTTATCTTGAATGTGGGATAAAATTGACCAGTCGGTCTATAATACAGCCCTAGGTTAAATTTTAGTTAAGAAAAACAGCTATAAACGTGTATATATATATATATATATATATATATATATATATATATATATATATATATATATATATATATATATATATATTTATATAATGAATTAGTTTATTTTTAAAATTTATAAGAAATACATATTGATTTAGAGCGCAAGTAAGAAAATACCGGCTGACTTGTTAACGACCGAGACGAAATAAATGGGTATGGTGAATTGATTGTGAAAAATCATTTATAGCCAGAGGCGTATCCAGGTTTTCGTTGTAGGGGGAGCGAAAAGAGCAAAAAAAGGCGCCGAATGTTTAACACGTTCTATATACGTATATATATATATATATATATATATATATATATATATATATATATATATATATATATATATATATATATATATATATATATATATATATATATACGTATATATGTATTACTAACTGTATGTCATTACTTCGCTATGATGTAAAATTAATTGAAAGTAGCACCCTGAAGAAATAAGAAAAAACACACAATGTAGGCTGACAAAACTAAAATTGTATCAATCTAAACAAACAATATATATATATATATATATATATACACATACTACAACCAAAAACAATGAACGTAACACAATCTGTTTTGTAATTCTTGTAAAAAAAATTCTTACATAATAATTCCTGGGAAATTATTTAAGACAAGTGAAATAGGGGAAATAATCACTCTCTTAATATAAATATGTATATATCTACACATTCAATTACAAATGTCAAAACAAATAAATAATTACTTTAGAATATAATGAAATTGTTTAATTCTATTCGTGTTTACAAAATGTTTTTGTCTGTAATCAGACTTTAATATATCGTCATCCTAAATGCTAAAGTATTACAGCATAATGAAAGTTTTTAAAATCAGGGTTGGTATAAAACCACGCATTTCTAAATAATAGAAAAACATTTGGAATAAGAGCCTACATTTAACTAAATATCAGTCTTTTAGTTCAGATCATATATTTTAATTAACTACTGCTTCTTTGTGATCTTTAAAGTTAAATTTTTAACATAGTGATAGGTATGGGTTAGATCACTGTATTGATCACACACCTTTTTACTGGTACTTGCAAAAACAATATTCACAGAGTTTTACGTTTAAAAAGCTAATTTTCTGGCGGCATGGTACTTTGGTACATCATTACGCGTTTTTTTACATGTACTTAATAGATCAGTTCAAGGTGGGTTGGGGTGGGGGGGGGGGGGGTCAACTTCATTCACCACTGTCCGGTCACTTTAGGTCAATTATCCAACCCAGTGTATACCTAGGTGTGACATTAATGTCGCTCTACACAATTGTGGTGGTGAGGTGTGTTGGGGGGGGGGGAGGGAAAACCAACCACTACGCAGTTTGCTCATAAGTAAATTTAAATAGAGGTGCCACATCAGTTGTATTTGTTTCTGTATTGTAATTTTTAGCGCAATTTCCATTCTGGAGAATTGCGTTTATTAACTCGTCATTTCTGGGAATGGATGGATGGATGAATGAATGAATGGATGAATGTGTGTCCGGGCTTTAAGTCGTATCTCCTCCTCAACGAAGCAATATCGATGACTAGTTTCAAAAGCAATTATGTTAAGCAAGTTACGAGAATGAGCATAGGCCATAAAAATTCCGGGTTTCTTTCATGTATTTCCCGTAAAAGCCAAAAAACCTCGAAAAAATGCAGTTTTTGGCCCATATCTCGGCAACCAGACCACGTAGCGACTTGAAACATGTACCAATCGATTCCTGCCATAATTTAGAACAATATTGCCGAAAAAAGTTTTCAAAAATATCCTCTCGTTCGGTCACAAATTTTAAAATTACATAAACACATACAAACCGATCGCTCTTCTAGCTTGAACGCACCCCATCATTATACGTCAGAGCTATTTTTAGATAACATAAGGAAATTGCGCATAAATGTCACTAGACTTTTTTAATTTACTTGCGCGCCTACTGAACGTGATGGCGCAGCCATGGAACGCGATGACGCATCCATTTAACGTGATGACGCGTGTGGTGTGGTTGTATATACATGCCGGAAGTAGAGATCTATCATCTTAATGATTATCATGTTGATAATCAAGTTCAACTAACCAATGGTTTTAATAACCCTGCTCTTGATTTCAAGGTGCTTAGTTTAGTTAGTAGTTAGGTTTATTTAATAAAAAACGTTTTAATAACTAACCAATGGTTTTACTAACCCTGCTCTTAATTTACGCTACAACAGAGCTATTTTTAGATAACATAAGGAAATTGCGCTAAAATTGTCACTAGACTTTTTAATTAACTTGTTTAAAAATTAATCACACGATTCAAACTGCATATATAAAGTAATTATGTGTGAAGTTTTATGTATAACATTTTCTAATTCAATTATTCGTAAGCAAATACATTATACAGTTGCCTTAAACTTAACACCCCTCTTGCCAAGTGGTACTACCGTAGAGGTTTTTTAAACATTGCAATGCATCGTAATGGTTATTTTTAGAACTGATGCAGCTGTTAATACATATTGTAAACGTAGACACTACTAGACTAGTACAATAATGCTTAATTGCTGCATGAAAAGAAATCTTGTGATTTACATAGATGTGCCGACCAAAAATATTTTTTAACAAATATCATTGTTTAAAACGTGGAGTTTAAAAAGTTTCCAAAAAGGTGCCACTTTGCTGAAAATGGCCAGAGGGGGAGCGGCCGCTCCCCCTGCTCCCCCCCTGCGTACGCTACTGTTTATAGCTTTTAGTTTAAACCTTGCTACAGATTGATAATCCTTAATTCCACTTACACGATAATCGTTTAAATGTTACTAAAACTATTTCTGATAAATGTTAATTGTGTTGTTGTTTGTTTGTTTTCTTCAATTTACTTTTTATGGGCTACGGTTTATGCATGTTTATGTTCTCATTAAAGCATTTTTAAAGTCGAGTCTTATCTTCGACAACACAATTTAAAACTCAGCACATATATCGTATAACCATTACAGTCTAGATTTATTTAAATGTTTCATTACGTTGAATATAATTCAAACAAACAAGATCCGCGCAGTTAATCTTTAGACAACAGTACTGCAGCAGGATAGACATTAATATAGCAGTAATATTTTTACATCTGTTGCCTCTGAGGATTAACATCTCTTCACCAGACTTGGTTTTGGGAAAACATTACTATGATGTAATTACAATAAGGAACATAGATTACGAAACAACAACAAATGCAACTCAAATGTAGATGTAGTCGGCTGTATCATATAGGTCAATACAATTCAAATGTACGTGTTTGTTTTAATTGGTTTTTGATAGATCGTGTCAAACGCACACAATTGAGAAAAAGGGAAAGAAAGCAAGATAGAGAGAAAGGGTAAATGAGTATATTATAACATTCAAATGTCGCAGTTACATTGAAAAATCATCCCTATACAGCACAAAGAACCTTTTTTGTCTTTTGACTTGTATTGTTTTAATGAACATAACCTTCTTCTAACAAATCCTACGCAAAACATTTATCAGACATTTTTGAGCCAGCATCATCTGTTACCTTTTACGATGTTTTATCAACGATTTTCCCCATTAAGGATAAATCAATTGTTGATAGATCTTTCTTTTAGTTTGACTTAGATTTAGAGATAAAAACGTGGGCGATTAACTACTTCTCTGTTTCATATTTTATTTGATGGCTATATGTTTTAAACAACCCTCACCCAACCCATGCCTGTATGTGAACACGACAACAACCGCTAGCATACACATATTTTTATATGAAGTGACGTACTGAACCAAGTAATTTTATTTTAAAACAAACAATGCAATTTATAAATGATTACAAATATAGGCTACAGGTATTTTAACACAGAAAAGCATAATGAGTGATATTTTCAACACACTTGTCATTAATATAAGTTAATATAAATATTTTCATTGAAAATGTTGCAATTTTGACCTGTAAATATTTTTTTTAATTTTAAAAAGAATTATAAAGTAAATTATTCTACTCCTTGGGCATAATTTACTAAATATTCTCTTTTAGTCGTTTCTGTAAATAGCTTTGCAGGTCCGGGCTGTTAGTTAGAGCCCACCTATCTTGGAATCCAATATATATATATATATATATATATATATATATATATATATATATATATATATATATATATATATATATATATATATATATATATATATATATATATATATATATATATATATATATATATATATATATATAGGTACTATTTACAAAACTGGCTGGTCGGGGAAATTAAGAAAGCACATAAAAACAAACAAATTAGAAAAAGCGTTTCATTATAGTAATTGAGTTTTATTGAATATAGGTACAATTCAGCTGTGTTTAGCCTAAATAATTTGATGCAAAAAAGTAACCATTCAATATAGCAATGATACTCAATACAATTACAAAACTTGCGACAATTAAATTAGTTATATATTTTTTTTCAGTTAATTTAAGATCTAAATCATTTAAGGTTGATGACATTCACAAATCTTCCAGCAGATGAGATTTTCCCGCCTTCTGTACGGCTTCCATTACCCTCTTTAGCAGGACTGCTTCGATGTTCGTCCTGTTTTTGTTTTCGGAGAACGAGTTGAATGTTACACCATCTTTGTGTACGAAAACATGAAAGGCTGGAAAACGATTAAATTAAAACTT